TATATATATACTCTTTATTCTTTTCTATTTTTTTGTGTATTTGCACTACTGTGGGAGTGGCTCTAATCTTGTTATGCATGCGTGTAATGACAATAAAGGCATTCTATTCTATTCTATTAAAACAATTCGAAGTTGGCATAAGTTGCCTAAAATGTTATAGGGCGACACGATCTTAAACTGCACATAGTCCTGTCATAAAACTATTTCAGATAACTGGAATATAAGTGTGGTGAAGCCAAATAAATGTAATATCTGCCTGCCGTACAACGAGCTTCTGCCTTCTGAACTTATCAGCTGCTGCTCTGCTGGGCTCAGAGCAGAACTTACATTAGCAAGATGCATTTATGACTGAACGAACGTCCACATCTTTTTTAATATCTCTGTGGGTAAAAATACATAAAAAAAAAAGTTTTTTTCTCCGACAACTTAGGTGTAAAAAACTACAGTTGTTAAAGTTTCGCTCTGTGCGACGTGCAGCAGGAGGGAGGAAATGATCCTGAAACACGACGTAACTTTTCTACAGCAGGAGGGAGAAATGTTGAGGATTTATTCTCTCTATACGTGTTTTAAAATGTTATATTTCTTCATTATATTTCTAACTCGTCCTGCTCAGGTGTCTCTGCACTCACCTGTTGACACAGGTGTGATGATGTAACTGGTGACAGGATGGTAGAGGGTAGATTTTTACGGTGTACCTCTCATACACCACTCAGCCCTGGTCCCTCTGTTGTGTTTAATAAATTGAACATGTTTTGTCCTCCGTCCTGCAGAGCTGCGGATCCCGGACAACGCCAACGTCTTCTACGCCATGAACTCCACTGCCAACTACGACTTTGTGCTGAAGAAGCGCGGCCTGGCCCGGCCGGTGCGGGCCAAGGCCGTGGCCAGCTCCACGCTGCCCCGCATGAAGCAGAAGGGACTGAAGATCGCCAAAGGCATTTTCTGAGGAGGGAGGGGCTTCGCCACTTTCTGCCCGCCGACCCGCCAGCGTCCCTCCAGGTCTCCGCCCCCTCAGACGAGACGTTCGGAGACGAACCAAGCCGAGCCGCTCCAGTTGGAGGGACTCGCAGGAGGCGGCGGAGCACTTTAGCACTTAAAGCAGGACCCTCGCAGGACCTAAAAAAAAAAGAGTTTGTTTCGTCACAAGCTCAGGAAAACTGACACGACTCGAACTCATCGTTTGTGGGAAAACTTCTTTTAAATTTTTGTTTACAGTCGTTTACATCAGCCGGTCAGATCTCTGCACCTTCTTTTTTTTAAAAGGCCGAGACTTTTCTGGCAGCCTTCGTCTCGGACTCCTCGTCCGTCAAAACCCGGAGAAGATCAAGTTTCAAGATGTCAGAATGTGTTTCTGCTTTTTCAGGGAGCTTCGGCTCGAGGTTTGAGGCGCCGGCTGAGTGTCCGAAACTTTCCCTCTGAACTCTGTGAAACTCTTAAGACACTGAGTGAAAACCCAGTGGGCTCAGCCAGGAACACACACACACACACACACACACACACACACACACACACACACACACACACACACACACACAC